GTTACAAAGCCAAAACTTTTAGGAAATTAAAGTTTTGCTCATTGCACCCAACTTTATAAAAAACTAACCGGCCACGGATGGGCGAGGCTTCGCCACGCACTGAATGTATGCATATATATGTACGTATTTGGAGAAAGACATCATATGTCATCATAAATTAAAGTGCGAAGGCCATGCACTTTCATTTGGTATCTAATTTTTTATCCAACGAACGGTGAAGATCTTATAGTTTTTAAACAGGTGGCAACCCTAATCAGAAAAATAATACATTATTACACATCTTGAGACTAAGTCTTTTCATTTGAGAGTGACGGTGCAGAACGGACGCCTACGCTTATTGGGATTGAATATAGTAATTTTCTTAACACGTGGCAACCCTATTAAAAAAATAAGACATTATTGTGTTTCTAGAGGCCAATCGCTTTCATTTGACACCTTATCTTTTGTAATCCAACGAACGGTGCGGATCTTGATAGTTTTTAGACAGGTGTCAACCTTATCGATACAGAGTATATTGGAGAAAATCTCGTCAAAATCCATTTAGTAGCTGTCGAGATTACCGCGTAGAAAAAATCTCGACTTTCCTTTATACTATGTATAGATAGAAAAAGAAGACTTCAACTGCTTTATACGCCTATAGTACTGTCAAAGAGATTTTGTCACAACTTTTAGAAAAATTTAATAAATATTCATGCAAATTCCCAACATTTTAATCTAATTTTTTAGAATTATTTTCAGTCTGCTGTTTGTCGCCTATTAAATTAAAAATCCTCTGTGCCATTACTTATTAAANTGGGCTGTAAGCAGGGAAAGGATTTGGTAGAAATTGCCTTTTTTCTTTTAAGAATGACCATGATTTAGCTTTCCCTGATTCCGTATATACACATTTGATGTTGCCTTTTTTTGCCTTTTTTAAGATATTTGCCTTTTTTTGCCTTTTTTAAGATATTTGCATTTTTTGCCTTTTCTACCCTTAAAAAAAGTGATTATAGCATTTACAATTTTTTTTTCTAAGATTAAAAAATATACACATGCCCATGCGGCTTATAGAAGCGCAGGGACCTCTTGCCAAATTGTTGTTGGAAAAATTCAAAGCCGTTTTCTCAGCTAACGTAGGCTTGGAGACAATAAGGGGTGTGGATAAAATTGTAAAGGGCGAGGGAAACGCCCTTATTCCTGATAA